ATATGCCTTAGGCATGTCCTGGTTGCCTGAGCACACATCATGTTCTACTCCTCTCACTGTACGAGCTCTACCGAGTTCGTGGACGTAGCACATAGTCCCGAAGGTGATGAGACCGACTAGCGCGTCCGGAGGCATCATAGACAGACATTGCTGTAGGGAGTCCTTCAACTGCTCCAACTCCTCCTCGTAGATGGACGTATCCACAGTAAAGAGGAACACCTGGCAACACTCATGATGAGGGATTGAATCCGTACAAGAGATCTACTGGAGGCTGAGCGGACTGGTTTGGAAGGATGTACTCGATAGTAGTGTACTGTGGTTGGAGCTCAGCAGGCAACATCTGAAATCGAACCAATCAAGTGAAGTAGTCACCATGAGCTGTTACTACCGTCTCAGAGATAACCTGAGCGTACATCTGCGGGAAGGAGTTACGCTGGAGACAGAAGGGGCATGCCCACGTCTTGGACCTCAGGTCCACCACACTGAGAAATAATCGATCAACAATCAAGGAAAGACAGAGCGGCTATTAATACCAATAGGGATTCAATATGGCGTTGCAGTCGCGGGTTCGACACTGTACAGGTTCATATTCGAAAAAGTTGAGGTTACTCGTCTGCTTCAATGGAGTGTATCTGAGTACATATCAAATACTGGCAGTAAAACTCTTTCCCCTGAGTACAGAGCTCCCATAGGCACAACTATCCTGGTATGGTCGAGCTTATTGGTCGGCCAGACGTTCCAACTCAAACGAATGCCATTCAGATTATCCTGCTCTGAGTAGTCCATAGTGTAACGACTCCAACTGGTGGAAGAATCAATTCATGCAGTGCTACACTATCCGATCTAGAGACCGGCCAATATGGTTTTTACTGCATCAATTTCATTTAGTTTTCACGTGAGAACGCGCCGAACGGAAGCTTCCAGGCCTGCAACGGTAACCATAAGTTTACTCTTGACTCCACCACACCTTCATACTGTCCAAAGCAGTATAATCTCGATGAAAAAGCGCGCGCCCGAGTTATCGATAATCAGCGCTGATAAGAGTCTATAGCCATTCAGTCTTATGGCGTGCGCTCCCTGTAGCGTAAAGCTCGCTCTCGCCCGACCGTTTCAAATATTGTCCGTTCAAACCATTGTTCGGATCCCGTGGATCTATCTGATCTGTCTGCACTCAACCTCCACTAACTATTGAATCCTTATGTCCGGTTCTGCATCGAGTTCTAGTCCTCCGGAAGCCTTCGACCAGCACTTCCTTAACAACTTGGGGGCTGCATGCCGAGAATCCATATCCAAGAACGAGAGACTGCTGTCCAAGTGCTTCCAGGACATTGAAGCTGGTTCTACCGTCGACGTTCAGATCATTCTGAGAAACACCTCTGATGCCCTTACGCCTGTGAAAGCAATGTCCGTACCCGGCCCTATAACGGCCCCGGCGTCGGAATCGGCTACAGGCTCGGGGTCCTCAAGCTTGCCCGCTGGAAGCGAACACGCGAGCTCTGATCAATCAGATGGCGTCTCAGTAGCCCCGGTGGTTGTTGTAACGACTTCATTGACTTCGGTCTTCGAAGCAGTATCAGCCGATCTCTGCCGCCTTGCTGATGACCATCTACTCAGCTGTGACCTTCCCTCATGGGTGACTCCGGTCTCACGACAACTTGCGAGAGTTATCATTAACCTCTCCTCATCGGATCACTATCAGATTCGATGGACAGTTGCCATTCCGACCCAAGCACAGCTGAAACGTGAATCGGTCGCTGCTATCAGTGAGCATCGCTCTCACTGCATGGCACAATCATCTCAAGCCAACACGAATGCCATACCTGGTGTTCCCACGGCAGTGAACAGGCTAACACCTATCACTCCACCGGTGCTGTTGTTACCACTTCACAACAGCAATCGGTCTCCCAA